GCGGGGGGGGGGGGCGGAGGCTCTCTTTCTCTCTCCCTCTCCCCCTCCCTCCTCAGAGCCAGTATTGGTGGTTCTATGTGGCTCTTGTAGTGACTGGAATCTGCCCTGAGTGCTTGCTGTTGATTTTGCGTTGGCACTGAGGCTGAGCAATCATTTATTTTTTATGAGAATGTGAGAATGCAAGTTACTATTCTTTACATTGCTCAGCAATGTAAGGAATAGTAACTTGTATTGTCGTCATATAAAACAAACGATTGATCAGTCTTATACAATCAGTAGAAATTCTTGTGATTGTATACACCCCTCCTGAGACCTTCCCCACTGTCCTGAGACCTTCCCCACCCGTCCTGAGACCTTTCGCACCCCTCCTGAGACCCTCCACACCCCTCCTGAGACCCTCCACACCCCTCCTGAGACCCTTTGCTCCCATGCTGAGACCTTCCACACATCTCTTGAAACCTTCCGCCCCCCTCCAGAGACACTCTGCAGCCCTCCTGAGACCTTACGCCCCCCTCCTGAGACCCTCTGCATCTCTCCTCAGACCTTCCTCACCCCTCCTGAGACCCTCCGCCCCTCCTGAGACCTTTCGCACCCCTCCTGAGACCCTCCACACCCCTCCTCAGACCCTTTAAACCCCTCCTGAGACCATCTGCTTCCATGCTGAGACTTTCAGCATGCCTCCTGAAACCTTCCGCACCCCTCCAGAGACACTCTGCAGCCCTCCTGAGACCTTACGCCCCCCTCCTGAGACCCTCTGCATCTCTCCTCAGACCTTCCTCACCCCTCCTGAGACCCTCCGCCCCTCCTGAGACCTTCTGCACCCCTTCTGAGACCTTCTGCATCCCTCCTGAAACCTGCTGCACCCCTCCCATGCAAATTACTATGGGTAGCTGCTCCAGATTCTGTCTGCTCCAGTTTTGATAAATTTCCCCCAACTGTTCAAGTGATAAATGATACAATTAGAATGAGAGAAACAACACTGCCACTGTGGCCTCTATAAGTAGTCGGTATGGAAAATGGGTAGATAACAGATATTTCATCCTATTGATGAGATACCAAACTAAATATATGCTGTATGTCTGTGCTTAATGAACGTATAGTTTGAACACAGCAGTATCACTTTATCACAGTCAGCATTCACTGACATTCAGTCTACAGTCTGAATGTTAACGAAGGTAAAATTAGCACATTGACATGGCTTCACGTAATTTTCAGGCCATACAGGACCATCTTGTCAGTGCAAGGTGGAATACCGTAAATTGTGCCTATAAAACCAATGGCAATTTGCATTATTATTGACCATGTAGCTAAGGGCCATCTAATGAGGTTAGTAATGCCGTAGGAGCAGGTTTTCAGATATCTCCACACTATTACAAGTGAAATAAACACATTGGTGAAACCACTAGAATGGCTGGAAAACAAGACTGTTTCTGATACAAAATACATTTTCCATCTTTGTTCTATTTTGCAGCTGATATTAAATATGTATATACTTGAAACATAAAACAGAAGTGCCACCTAGCAATGTCACAAAAAGATGGCACAATAGAATGTTAAGAGAACGACTTACTTGGGTCTGGGTTTTGATTCTTCTGTTTAACAAAATATGAACAAAAAACAGTTTGAGTTGAACATATTTCACAATATCTAAATACTACTAATACGCTTACTCTACAATGCTGTTTAGGTGAAATGTTGCTTTGATCATAATCTCATAGTTCCAAAATGTTTGGATGTTCCTTATTTATCAGTATAATTATACACCCATGAGTAAAGTTATAGGCATTTGGGGACATTTATAAAACATGCATAGGTTAAAAACCAATTTCTGCATTACATCCAGCAGATGTTGGTTTTCATCTTTAGAAAACTGTATAACTGTCCCCTATTACTTATAGCTTCCATTTGAACTCTTAAGCCGATGTGAGAGGAGGTTCCCATTTGTCCAGGTCATGGTATGTCTGGTAGTATTTTGTCACATCTAGCTGGACTTGCTCTATAACAGTGGTTCTCAACTCGTGGGTCGCGACACACCTTCTGCAGTGGGTTGCGGTGTCATTTCTTCATGGAGCGGCCCATCTGCAGTAGAGCGAAATAGAGAGGGGAATTTGTAGTACAGCTTGTGAGAACTCCATAATGTAAAACTGTCCCCTCTCTCCCGGCCTCCTCCGGGCTCTCCGATAAAGTGGTATGGCCCGGGGAGAGAAGGGACTATTTTCTCACTTTCGGCCGGCGCATTAATATCATTAATATCAGCCTCGGCTCCCGACAATTAAGTTAAAGTTCCGGCCCGGCCTGCA